ATAGTACAAAATGGTCTATATTTTCCTCGAATATACACAGACGACAATCCTCTTTCCTTGGCCATTTTGTCTAGGTTTATTCAAGGTACGGAGCATATAAGAAACACTATAAAGCCCTACCTATTGGGTTGTTTGATATTCACTATGTAAGAAAGTCCTAAAAGTCAAGCCCGTGGGGTGTTACGATAGTAGTATCAGACATCTCCAAATCATTGTCCGGTGTATGTGTAGCGTTTTTTAAGTCTCAAGCTGTTTGCGTTTTTGTTGGGAAAAAGAAGTACATATTGTATATCAGGTTATATAGGAGGTGTATATTGTAATAAGTAAATATGGGAAATGTAAGATATTGTGCCCTGTATTTTATGGTAAGTCTAGGTATAGTTTAGGTATCTATGATTTAGTTTTTAATAGTGTCATATGTAATTTGTCTAAAAAAGACAAATATGTATATTCATATCAATTAATGGACATTGAGTCTATTCAGAGAAACTTGAGATTCTTCGCATAGTATCAAAGCCAGATTTATCTTACTTGTGTCAATTCCTCGTCCTTGAAGTATTGTCGTTGATTTTGATGATCAGTTCTATTGCTCACTCAGTCGGTGCAACTTCTGTCGAGTCGTGTTTCGACTCTTTGATCTGTCCTATCTGTCGAGTTGTGTTTCAACTCTTTAATCTGTCTATCTGCCGAGTCGTTTTCGACTCTTTGATCAAGCAATCTAAACATGACAACCACTGCATCTCCTGGTCATGTTACACACCTGAAGATCCAACTATTCGCTTTTGAAATTAGTGTTTAAACTCCAGATACTCTCTCTCATATCATCTTGAATTTGAGTGGAGTGTGTAAGGAAAATAAATATTGTCATCAGGTTAATATAAAAGGTTTATATTGTAATTTGTATATTTGGGATGGGTAAATACAATATCTTATTTTTATGGTAAGGCTGGGTATAGTATAGGAACATGTGATTTATTTTTATATTTTATGATTTGTAATTTGTCTATAAACGACAAGTATGTATATTCATACAATTAATGGATACTCAGTCTCTTCAAAAAAACCTGAGACTTTTCACATTTGTGGTACCAGACCTATTTGAATTAGGGCTTTAAAAATTAGGCCCGCTCTCGCTCTCCATTAGTATTCCTCAAGCGTTCTCTCTCTATCCTCTCTCTCTCTTTTTCTTTATCTGGCTTGCACTTTCTTTTCTCGACCTCTATCAATCATCCGAAGGTACCAGATCCACAACCATCTGCCTATAGGACAACTCCCTATATTCAGAACTTCAAATCCAGGAAGCTGGCCGATATTAGACACACCAGAAAAGCCACTCGCAGATGGATGAGGTATCTGGTGTTCTTAACACCAAACAGTTCCTTGGACTTAGATATTGGAATCCAAGAAGTTGTCCTGTAGCTTACCTGTAATAATGTAAATGGGCGTGGATCTTGGACCTTTGGGCTACTAATGGAGGTAGAAGGAGAAAGCCAGTGCCGGATAGAGAGAAAAAGAAAAGTTGAGAAAAAATAACCATGGGTAGCGGGTCTGGGTTTAAAGCCCAATTTTGAATATGTCTGGTATCACAATATCAGATAGGTTGATATATAAAACAAGCCGCATATAGGGTGGTGCATGACCTTGGCAACATAAGACAAGGTTTTGGAGATGTCCTATGTTGCTAATGTCACACACCCCACGGGCTTCACTTTTAGGGTTGTCCAACACAGCACATATCAAATAACCCCATAGACGGTGTTTTTGATATTGGCTATACCCTCAATAACCAAAAATAGTAATATTTCATCCGGACGGGGGGGCAGCTGAGGATTGGTCTCCGTGTAAATTTATTGAAAATATGGACTGTCTCGTAATATTTGGTGGGAAATATGGTCCCTAAATATTTGCCTAATATAGTTGTACTGATTATTAATGCAAGTACCTATATGCACATCAAGACCTTATTGCATATGATCTAGCGCACCCATAGTCAGCCAGAAATCTGTACTGTCTTGGTCATGGTCATTTAGTAATGGGAAAATTTAATTTCACTTTTTTGGAATCCCATTTGATCATTTAGAAATGGGAAAATTTTAATTTCGCTTTTTTGGAATCTAAATTTAATTACACATGAATGTACATCTTATCACTTATGTCAACAAACATAAATATCGTAATACCTAACCCATCTAACCAAATCCATCCCAACTCCCTTATACAAAAGGAAAGGGCAAAAAGTTCAGTAAAATGGCCTATCAATTTATACATCCTTCAATCTCATCATGACCGTTCCTCTATTTTAGGAATTTCTGCCACGTGTCAACGTCCTTATGGCATTCTCATATATGATCAGTACAATGACCTTTGCCCATGGTTTCACATGGTTACAGGAGTAAGAGGTAGCCTTCAATTACGGCAATGATAGTTACCAACTTCCCTAAAAAAGAGTTAATTTTCCCTTTAAAAGTATGAAAATGAGTGGTGAAATAACATTGAGAGTTAATTTTCCCTTTCAAAGTATGAAAATGAGTGGTGAAATAACATTGTAAGTACGGAAAAAATATAAAATGAGATCATTTATGTTTGGTACAAGGTGAGACATTAATCTTGACCATGGGATGTGAAATTAGGTGGCTGCAATTATTCCATTGATCAAGCTCAAACTTTAAAAGAAATTTTTTCGAACTTTTTGTCACATCCAAGCTATCAAACTTCACATCCAATGATTGTAAGTAATTGTGACTACCTTGTATCAAAGGTAAATGGTAGTAATTTGGAAACATTGATGATGCCCATGAGTAGACACTTTTTACCCTTTGTTGAAAAAGATATATTGCTCTCTTGAGAGCATACTATTCATTTCGCTCCATTGGGTAAAATTCAATCTACAAATATTTTAGGAGCTTGAATGTTGGGGATGTAACCTCTTGAACCTAGCAACCAACCTTTAAAAAAATTGAAATTACACATTCTGTGTGCGTGAAGAAAAATACATCCCAAGCTTGAACAGGGATTGTCGAATGTTTTTGGAGGCAAGATTTAAGTTTTGAAGAACTCAATATTTTTTTCTTTTTATGAAAATAATCATATGGTAAATCTTGGGTGAATTCCAAAATTTCAAATATCCTCCCTAGTAGCTTTTTTCCCTGAGGGAGTTGATGTACAGTGGGCTCCAGCTTGAACATGCAATACGCCCTCCTCTCTTGGAATGGTGAGAAAGAGAGGTAAACTATAAATAGACCGATTTAGAGTTACCATGATGTAAGATGAAGACTAAAGACTTGAGAGAGAGAGACGCAACAAACGTTCAAAAAGATTGAAGGGTGGTTGCCATGCCTTAACTTGAGACGGGTAGATGAATTGAAAGCAACCCTTGCGGTCCATAGGCTTCCTAATGTAGAAAAAGATAAACAGTATGAAATTCAAATACATTGGGTTAATTGTCTACTTATTGATACAACATATTACTGTTAACTTAGCTTTATTAACCCAAAGTTGAAAATCTAGGCTATGTACCATGTGCGATTTCTTGATGGATTCGTTGTATCATTGGTTACTTTTAATGATCTTAAAGAGTGTTACCGGTGACAAAAATACCCATTGAAGCCTTCCCCATTATCTTCTATTTAGATTTTCATATAGGCGAGGCCATGGATTTCTAATGCTTAGGGGTTGAGAGGAAGAGCAAGTTCTATAGGACAACTGTGAGACCAGCTTTGCTCTATGGGACGGAACGTTGAGCGGTCAAAAAATAATGTACCCATTGAATGAGTGTAGTGGAGATGAGGATGTTGAGATGGATAAGTGGCAAGACAAGAAGGGATAGAATTCGAAATGAATATATTTGAGAAAATAGAGGTGTGGTACCAATAGACAATAAGATAAGAGAGAGTAGATTGAGGTAGCCTAACCATGTGTGGTAGACCCAGTACAACTCCTGCAGGTGCGAGATAGTTCATGTGGAAGGCTCAAAAGGGCAAGGGGGTAGGTCCAAAAGGACATAAGATATGGGGACTTATGACCTCACTTAGGGTATAACTCTTAATAAAGTAGTATAATAGATCAGGATTCATGTAGCCGACTCCAATTAGTTGAAAAATGGTTTTGATGATGATAAAGGGTTGTGAGGAAGAGCTGCAAGCTACAGATCCAAAAACTATAGAGGTAGAGCTCGAAGAAGGAAATAAAAAGGCAAAAAAAGATCGGAAATTTTTGTGGTTTGCTCCATATTCGGACACTCATGTCGGAAACTGCCACCACCGGGCTGACCAAAGATCGGAATTGTGAATGTTTTTGAAAGGACAGGATATGGGAAGGGCTATAACGGTTACTTTCACAACCTCAAGGGGCATGATGGATATTTTCTCAGCAAATCGAACCTTATGTTTGCTAAAAGTTGGGAAGGTTACATGATCACATGGGGAAATCTATTGTCCATTCTATTGTCATTGCACATGCACCCAACTATGCCCCAATTCCATGGTCAATTTGCATTTCCTCTCTCTCTCTCTCTCTCTCTCTCTCTCTCTCTCTCTCTACTACTATATATATATATACTACTACTACGTACTACTACTACTACGTAACGTAACGAACGTAACGTAAACGTAACGTAACGTAAGTTAAGTTA